GGGGGGGGTGGGGGAGATAAGGAGAGGAAAGGACGCAACGGGTGGGGGAGGCAATCTAACGCCTCTCCCACCGCTGTGCGCCTTGACTGATTTTCATTCGGAATTCGATAAAGTAGCGAAGACAAGTACCTCCGACAAAGCGGCGAGCATAACGCGCGCCTGCCGCTCGAGTTTGACAGCTGGCAGGCCCCTCTCTCCTTTCCCGCACGCCTCTCCTCTCTCTCTCCCCGCCGTCCTCTCTCCTCGCAGGGCCGACAGGGACGGGTAGAGAAAAGTTTGACAAGGGGACTGGCTCAGGCGGCCGGCGACCAGCTCAAGAAAAGGGGACATTTATAGAAATGAAATCCCATACGCGGTCCCACCCCGTGCACTCGCCCCTCTACAGACCGCCAAGGTCCATCCTTCGTCACCAAAGAGAAGCTGCTCTTGAGCGGCAGTAATATCACCTTCGGATAAACGAAAGCACATATACATGTAATGGAATGTAATGTATAGGAAAACTTAATTGAATTAAAAAACCCAGTCTTGGATCCTCTGGAGAACGCTATCGACATCCAAAACTGGGTCTTAAATGTTATTTAACTTTTTGTTTTAGTTCGAGTTGAAGGCACCAGACTACTTTATGCAATGCCGAGATTCATCTTCGTCGAAAGAGGTGAAAATAATGTAGGTGTACTAATCACTAAAACCCCTCCGGTCACCGTGCCCTGCATGGCAGCATGGCATGCTGAGCCCGGCTCAGCACATACCGTGAGCTCCCCACGGCCCATACTCGCCATTCCTCGGGCATTTGTCTAGGGGAGGTCTTGGTGAGCAGCGGTGATTCACCACAACTCATCAAACAACATGACCGTCTCTGCCCTCCCCACCTGCGTGGGCGGCAGAGAGCGACCCGCCGGGCGCCGCTGGGGGCTTTAATTAACGGCGACCAACTACGGCGAGAGAGGGAGAAAGAGAGAGAGAGAGGGAGAGAGGGAGAGAGAGAGAGAGAGAGAGAGAGAGAGAGAGAGAGA